GCGGATGAGTGTGCATGCGCACGTGTGTGCATGTGCGTGTGACGAGTGCACATGTGTGTGTGTGAGCGACAGGGGCGCGGCATTGGCAGGACACGCATTCTTGTATGGGAGCGTGCTGAACCGCACGTATGAGGCTCATGGGCAGCGTGGCACGTTTGTTGGACTTCTCAACTGTGCCACACCTCGCTGGCGTGCAGGGCCAGCACCCGGCAACCACAGCTGCAAGCCGGCTCGCAACAGGGCCGCACCTTGATTTTCCCCAGCAGCCGGTGCACCATTGGATTCGCCTCCCGCAAGGGCCGCAGGTCCGTCGGCTGCAGCGGCGACTGGCAGTCTGGGCACGTGCACCGCCCGCCGCGGTCCAGCCAAGCAGCGATGCAGGCAGAGCAGAAGAGGTGGTGGCAGGGCGTCGACGCGGCGCCGCCGTGGGGCACGATGCAGCCGCAAATCGAGCAGACGAGCTGGGGCGGGGGGAGGGGCAGGGCGGGTCGCTCGTGTTGGCGCGGCGCTGCCGTGGTGGCGGGCTTGGCAATATAATTCAAATCAAGCCAGCCGCTGCGGCCCGAGGCGTCTGTGACACGCCCAGATAGGCACCCCAAAAAGAGATGTTTGCCACCGCCCCTCTGCTAGAAGTGATTCTGGGGACGGCTGCGTCACACTCCGCTGTTTGCGCGTAGTTCAACATGAAAATATTTAGGCTGCGGCGCTTCATATTTCTGCCAAAGCACTTGCCGCCCTGAGCGACGGTGGCACGGTGTGCACCCACTCACCACGTCAGCCACCTCGCCAGACGCAACCCGCTCGGGCGGCAAGGACGCCAGTTGATTCAAGCTGGTGCCCTCGCCTGCGCTGGCGATTGCACTATCCTCGCGCATCCTTGACAACTTCATCCATGTTCCGCTCGACCCACGCACCAAACGCCCTGAGCCTGACCGTCTTAGGCGACCCCACATCTCGGACACGTCCAACATCGCTTTTTACTTTGCTGATTTGAAAAAAATCTCTGTTGTAGACGATCCACACCGTCGGCCCCGCCTTGCTTATGCCTGGTGGGAGAGTGAGGGGTTGGAAGTCGGCGGGCGGTCGGGCGGCACTCCTCGAGTGAGAGGCGATGCGTGGGCTGTCCGCCACCTCGCTGGCCAGTGGCCACCGTCAAGCTCTTATATGGTGCCTCACCCCTGATGCAAAGGTGCGATGCACGCTGTGAGGTGCAGATACTGTCAGGAGGGCCCACGAGGCCCGGGGCCGGCCTGCCGCGCCGTATACCCCTCCAACGGATGATGCGTGCATGTGGACGGCGTGGCGAACCAGCACGGGGGCTGCGACACACCCCCACCGTCCTGTTGATGCCATTGCCAGCCGCTCGGAAAGCTGTGCGCGAGGTCGTGTCATTCGTCAGGTCTGCTCGCTGCAGCTGTGTTGGAGATGCTGTCGATGCCACCATCTCACAGTCGGCCCTCCTGGTGGTTGCGTGTTTGAAGTAAGGATGGGCCCGGCCAAAACCATCCCACAACCACGCCCCCAGTCACGCAGCTTGCTTTTTGCGTGCTGTGCAACGCCTGTGTAAGCCTGGCGTGCTGGCAGCTCATCTTTACTGTTGGCTCCACAACCAGGCCTGAATTGCTACCCAACTTCTCGTCCGCAGCAGTGAGATTTCTCATCACTGTGCCTGAAACCTTGAGTGGCCACCGGGTGGCGTACAGTATCAGCAAGCGTGCCAGTTCAACGCTTGCGCATGCAGCGCATGCGTCTGAGGCTCTTTGGTGCTGCTCTGCACGCGCGACTCGGGGTGGGGGCGGCGCAAGGCGGCCCGCTGCCCTCGACCGTTGTTTCATGTTCTGTGAGGCCTCATGTTCAGTGTGAGCCTGTATTTGGATGACAAGACGAGCCGGCTTCATCGCCGAACACCTCAGGGCCGGCCCAACTGCCGCAGGAGCCCATTCGTGCGTCGGCCTGATGAGGCGCACCAGCATCCTTGATTGCCAGCTGAGATGCCCCAGCCGGGCTGCGCGGCCGCTCGTTATCACCGCTGCGCCGGATGCACCACTGGGGCCCTCCGCCTTTGCTATGTTCGGCCGCAGGTCGGCGCGGAAGAGCCCTTTGAAGCAATCCGCTCCCTGACCCTCAAGCACACGCACGCCACAACTGGGAGGTCGCGTGTCAGTTGTGAGGGCGGCGCGCACCTGGCGCACCGCGCCGGCGGCTCGGGCAAGGCATGGCTTGAGCCCTGGCCCCGATTACGGCCGGCTGCGCTGCAGGGGTGTGCATTGCAGAGGTCAGACAGCAAGGGGCCCTGCGTCGGGCACCTGCCGTCCAAGGCGGAGGATCCTGACCCAGCGCCGCCAAAGCACAGCAGGTTCCGCCAAGGTGTACCTCATGCAAACCTGTACCCCACACGGTCTACAGGAGCCCGCCCGCCCGGCCCCATGGCGCCCGCTGCAGGTGCACCTTGCGCCGTCCCCGACCACCCTGCGCCGCGTTTTAGCCGACGTGCTGTCGCTGGCATGTGTGCCACGTCGAGACAGTATCTGGGGCACACACAGATGGCTTATAACGGTGGCTATGCAGCGTTCAGTCGGGGCCATCTGTGCACGCCGGGGCCGGGGTGTTTGTGGGCGTCAGTGCCTGACATTTTACCCCTTACTCACTCACTCTGTCACTTGTCCCAGACGTGACCGGCGAGACCAAACGTGTCAGGGGCCACATGTGTGCAGTGAAAGTGTCTTGGGTTTGACTGACTTATCAGCAGACTCATCAACATTGCGGGTGATCCACGACAGAGCAGCCCGTCCGTTACGCGCTGTCCGCTCGCATCCCCAATCTGAACAAACACGTCAATTGTTGTTGAGCTAAAGTTCTCATTGCGATTCCGGACGGTGCAGCGGACGTGCCGCGCCACGCCGCGACCCTCTGACGCGACCACAGCGCCAGCCAACCAGCACCACACGCGCACGCCGATGCTCCTGCGTGCGCCGCAGCAGTGCGCGCCGGCGGCCCGCAGCGCCAGCACCTCGGCCCGGGCCCCCCGCGTACGCACCGCCGCAGCCCCTATGGAAGTGGACGTAGCGATCGCCGGCGCCGGCCCCGCCGGTCTCGCCTGCGCAGCTGCGCTGCGGCGCGCAGACCCCTCCCTGCGCGTGCAGCTGTTTGAGAAGACGCGCATGACGGGGCGCGGCGCCGCCATCCTAGTTGGCATCAACGGGCTCAAGGCGCTCAAAGCGATCGACCCCGCGATGCTGGATGATCTGTTGTCAAAGGCCATCAAGCTGGAGGGATCAGGTGAATGGCAGGGGCCAGGAGTGGAAAGACGCGCCGCAGGGTGCGAGCGGGACGGCCAGTGACGCGCACTGGGCCACCTGAGGGTGCGGTGTGGCACGGCAGCATAGGAGGCCGACCCGCGGCTTTCCATGGCGAAGGAAGCTGCACCCTCTTTGGCCCCGCCCTTGAGAGCGCGCCCGGCGCCTCCCCTACCCACCCCTCACCTGCTGCCGCGCCTCCCAAACAACCGTCCCCTCTCCTGCAAACCCCCTCCTCCACCCCCACCCCTCAAACCCCTCTCTCAACCACTCCCGCTTCCGCAAACCCCCTCCTCCCTAAGGGATCCAAAAAATGCACAGTTGAATGATACAACCATCCAGAAACCGAAACATCCAACGTGTCAGCGGTTCAACAATGCTCCAACCCAACAACCCAACAACCCCATCAGAGCGCTACAACATGGAGACCGGGGAGCTGAAGGAGTGGCTGCCGATGCGCAACGACGAGTTCTCAACCAAATACGGCTTCCACAACGCGCTGCTCGGCTGGGCCGACATCACCGGCGCGCTGCGCGCCGCGCTGCCGCCGGGCAGCGTCACCCCGAGCGCGGCCGTCGCCGGGTTCGAGCGCGGCGACGGCGGCGGCGTGCGCGTGCTGGGGGAGGGCGACGAGGTCCTGGCGACAGCCAAGGTGCTGATCGGCGCCGACGGCTGGTTCTCGGGGGTCCGCGCGCAGCTGCTGGCCGACGGGCCGCCCACGTTCAAGGACGCCGTCGTGTGGCGCGCCCGCGTGCCGCGGCGGCCGGAGTGGCTGCCCAACGAGCGCCGCACGCAGTGGTGGGTGCCGCCGGACGGCATGCGGCCGGGGGCGCTGTTGGCTGTGCTGATCCCCGTGCCCGGCGGCGACCTGGTCTGGCAGTGCCACGCGCCGCTCTCGCGGCTGCAGGAGAAGGGCATCTCCTTCGACCCCGTGACCGGCGAGGCCGGCTCCAGCCACTCGGACGGCGGCGGCGGCGCGTCCGCGTCCGCGGGCGCCGGCGGGGAGAGCGCAAAGGCGCGGTGCTTGAAGGTGTTCGAGGGTCTGGCCGGCATCGGGCCGTTCATGGCGGTCGTGGCGGGGACGCCGGAGAGCGCGGTGACGGAGCACGGGCTCTACCAGCGGACGCCGGATCAGATCCCGGACGGGAGCTGGGGGGACGGCATGGTCACGCTCGCGGGCGACAGCGCGCACACGGCGTGAGTGCAGCGCGGGGCCGGGGGCACGGAGGGCGCGGGCAGGCGCCCGGGCGCTGGAGCAGGGTGGTGGTGGCCTGCTCCCTCGGCCAGAGGCGCCGCGGTGCCCTGCCCCAACTGTGCCGTCTTCGCCCCCGCTTCCAATGGATCTGCACCCCCTGAGCGGCTCCCTGGGCAGCGACACCCCCACCCATGCAC